TGACGTGCCTTGGCGAGGGCTCTTCCGCAAGCAGCTGTCTGCTGGGATGGCCGGTTCTACGTACCGGAATGACTCGGGTTTTACCCGACCATGGGCTGTTGTTTCGGTGATCTAACCCCGTTTAGGTCGGCGAAATCCATCAAACGTTGAAAATCTGGGTCGTTCCCGCTGCTTGTTTTGTCTATATATGGTATGGTTTCAAGTTAGCAGCACACCTTGTCCAAAAGCTTGGGCTCGAAGAGGTTCTCTTTTATTGGAATAGAATTAAAAGTGGTGCTCAACATCATTACCCATAGCCGTATTAGCGTAGCGTATAGCCTCACAATTGGCAGCTTCTCTATGACGCATAGGCAGGCAGTATGTGTGAATCTGCTAGGTTTGAAGACAAGCTATTAAAGACCCAGGCCTAAGAAATTTCGCCCTACTAACCCTACTATGCTAGCTTTGAAGAGATCTGTCGATATTCCATGTACTTGTCCGTTTTTCAATCGCATCTAGCTGCCCTCAACTCGTCTTGGTCGGATCGGGACGGCAGCTTCTGATTTCACATTTTACAATAAACTTTTATGGTTTTGTATCCTGCACGTATTAATTCAATGAAGTGAGTACTGTATGCCGATTGCAATTTTTTTTTTTATAAAATCTATACAAACATAACACGAAAAGATAAAAAGTTTGCTATCTACTCCTCTACTATTTGTAAGATATCGACGACATATTTAACTATTATCGATTCGAATATCAAAGTCTTACATTTATAACTACAACTGGCATACTCGGTTCATATACATACATACATATGTAAGCTGTACAAAAAATACTATGTACTTTTTGAAGATGCTATTTGGTTTTTTGTGTCAAATTTCCACCACTAAAACTGAAGTTTTAAGGGCCCTTATTGGCACCAAAAATTAGCCACGCCCGTTTACTCTAAAATACTTGACACAATCTTGAGCTGGTAATTACAAAAACGCCACAGGGCCGTTTTTACAGTGACGAGACTCCTATTCGGCAGTTAACTACAGGTTTTTAATACAAAAAGTGAAAATTAACTGCCGAATTTGAGCTAAACCCTCACCGCCAAAATGGCACACAGAAACTTAAATAAACATAATTCATATTCACAAAAAAATGACGCAGTCCCAGGGTGTAGAAAGTGAGTTAATTAAGTAAGCATAGCATGCAATTAGGCGCAAAAGCCCACTCAAGCTGTTGGTCATTCACATTTATGCTGACCCCTGCTTTTAAGCACAATAAAAGCTGGCTAGTATTTATTTGATATGCCATAAATGTTGGAGGAAAAGGAAACCATAATAACATGTCCTGCAGACAACGTATGTCCTTTTATACGAGTACACTTTAAAAACCAAGCCAAGGATCAATTATTGTACACAGTAGATACAATATATATGTACACAAACATACATACAGTGTATTATATGTATGTACATCTATTAGCACCGGCATCCTGCTGTGTTGATATATTTCTGCCGGCACATCGGCACCTAAAACCAGCACTAAATTTGCTATAAAGTCGTTACACTCATCTCACCGCCCACATCCTTTCATCGTATCTGTCGTTGAATTAAGCGAAAAACACTTGTGACAAGTGGTTTTTAATGTCACTTCACTCGTCGCAGCCCCCTCATCAAATGCTCTGCATTCACTTTGCAGCGTCGGTGGCGACTCGTACAGACTTGAAATATTTTGCTGACATTTGCAGCTTTGTCATCGTTGACGTGGGTTCTGCTCTTTACTTTCTCATTTACATACTTATTTACTTACCGCCATTTACTTTTGTCTGGTCGTGTTAGCTGAGCACGACCTGTGTAAACAAAGTAGAAGCTATGTTTAATTTTTTATAGGCGAGAAATTGACTTTTTGAGTAATGTTCTGAGATAATTTTAAATTTGTTCTTATTTTGATATGCTTAATTTATTAGTTGTTGCGGAAGCCAATTGGAAACCAATCTGATTTGTGTAATTGAGATTTTTTTAGACTTGCTTATTGTCTAAAGGTCATATGTTTAAAAGAGTTTCTGCGCTAAATTTTGGCGTACATTGTGATTTTTTCGCTTGTATGTAGAAGCCTTGCCTTTTTTGTCTAAAGCTGAAATAGCGTCAGCGAATTTAACCGAGACCAAAAAATATCGGCAGTCCTTTTTTTGAAGTAGGATGACCTATCTTATGATTTTAATACAAAGTGTATTCGGGGGATAACTGCTATACGAGTTTTGGCTCGTCCAGGCTATGAAGTGATTGAGATCACGTCACCAAAATCATCATTCCCCACCTGTCCCAGTTTTTACGTTTCCCTTTACACTCCATCACATTTCATTTACAAAAATAAATTACTTATACGCAATGGTGTTCGGTAGTAGATTTTTAATGCTATTTCTTACGCAGCAGTCATCATGCGCATGTGAAAATAAAATGCCTTTATAATTACATACATATGTGTCGAATTAAAAGCATTTGAAAACAGCTGCAAAGCGCAATTTTGTACATGTGGACTTAAACATAGCGTTTTTCTTTAACACATGAACTTGAGCTTTTCTATGGGTTCAGCCAACTGCATAAATAAGCAATAGGGGTATTCTCTGAGTCTTGAAAAGCCCTTGCAGGGTGCACGGATTGCACGGTTTGCAAAGCTGTCCCATACGAAAACCGGTTTTAACTGTGCAATCCGTGCAATCTGTGCACCATGCATGGGCTTTGCAAGACTCAGAGAATACCCCTAATGTGTTACACAAATTATGTCAGACATTCGTGTGTACATACGTACATATGTAATTTACAAATTTAAAGTGAAATCTTCCTTGTGCATACTTCGCTAGCAACTCCTGTTAATGACCGTTAAGGGGCAACATACAAGTGAATGTCATTGCGCTTAACGACATTCGCATATAAAATCTTGAAAAGTGGACAAGCATATACAGTGACGAGCAAAACTGTAACATGGTGCAAAACTTTTTATTTCAGCCAACGCTATATTTCCAAGTTCTAAAGACTTTCATCCTTTTGTTGTATATTCTTGGTGGTACATCCCTGCTCCCTCTCTCATAACGATTTGAAGTCAATACATCAACAATAAAAAAAATCAGCAGACAAAAATGTAAATTGAGGCAGATGTTACAGTATGAAAGTCGTTAGAACTTGGAAAGATAGCGATGGCTGAAGTAAAAAGTGTTACACCACGTTACAGTTTTGCCCGTCACTGTACATATGTACATACATACGTACATACACGGTATGTAACAGTGACCTTGAAAAACAGCCTTGGTTATAAAAACATGTAAATAAGAATGTGTAGGAAAGAACTGTAAATAATAAAAAGTTATTTAATGCTTTTTTGAGAGCTTACTTGTTTCTGCATTGTTGCTACTACTCCCTTAGCAACATTGGCGTTGCTTTGTCCTCCTATGCCTTTAACTTTACTTCAACTACATTTTCATCGTGACATCATCCTCAATAGGTTTATAATAGTTCTCTTTCGCACTTTCTTCGTGCCTCTATTATCCTTTTCGTTTACATACATGACATAGTTGCATGAATAGGCAATCGTATTTAGTGATGAATGAGCCTCGACTATGTACATATGTATTGTATTTATTACAAAGCGAAAGTTGCTTTGGAGTTTCGAGGAAAAAAGGACAATTATCGCTTCTCACAATTTTCTAAGTACTTGACCGAACTTCTTGTATGAGGTTGTCATCTGGAGACCTACTGTTTCGGCTGCCTCTGGATATTCATGGAGTATATACACTGGTTTAAGATTAATCTGGAGTTTGACTTACCGTTTCAGGGTTTCGCTACTTCTGCTACTCAATTTTATTCTAATATATTAGTTTGAGATTTTGCTTCTTTGTAATATTTACTTGGCTCTTCAAGTTTTCAAGAAAAATATTCAGTGGTTCCGCTGGCCTTGAGGTTGTCACCTGGAGACCTACAGTTGAGGCTGCCTCCGGATATTTCTGGAGTATTTTCCGTTTAATGTTTTTGCTAATGCTGCTGCTCAATTTTATACTTGGCTCTTCAAGTTTTCGAGAAAAATATTGAGTGGTTCTGCTGGTTTGGTCTTGGCATATGAGTCGACAGAAACGCTCCAGCTCTGAAAGTATATAATGCGGGTCGCGATGCTTGTAGCAAAAGAGAAACCCCTCCTCTGCAATGAAAAAAAAAACAGAGGAGAAAGCCTAGGCTTCACTTGGCATTTCTAATTTACGTCAGTTGGCGAGAATCATGGTTTGTGCTTCTGCCAATCAAGAAGATGAATATTTACTTTGGAATTATTTTATAACAATTTTTACTTTTTCGGTTAAATTATGTATTATTAACTCTTATCTTAGTTCTAAATATTCCACTTCTGAATTATTGCATAATTTAATTGAAATCGTATTATGTGTATGTGACAGCTCAGATTATATACAAAAAGAATTTTACTCCATTTTTTCATTCTCTTTCTCTCTGGTTCCTAGGTATTCCGTTTACTATTGGAAGGTGTCGCGTGAGAATCGTCGCTGCTATATGGACTATTACTATATGGAGAATGGCAAACAAATGTATGGTGTCCCTTTGGGTGGTATTGGCGGCGGTACCATCGGCCGTGGATTTGCCGGTGAATTTTGTCGGTTTCAAATGCGTCCTGGCATGTACGAGTACAACGTGGTGCAGGCGAATCAATTTATTGTGACAATCAAAGATGCCAAGGGTTGTACGATATTTCAAAGTTTACTTTCGAGAAGTAGGTAAGTCAAACCACAACAAGATTATGTTTTCAGCTAACTAAAACGCATTGAGTCTAACTAAGTCGCCTGAGCCCAATAATCCTCTAACCACGTAACCATTATTACACCTAACATGCTTTGTCTATATACTTTATGTGAATAATGATTTTGCTAAACATGCATATGTGTCTTCGTTAGACTATTTGTATACATATTGGAACTAATTTTTTGTTTTTGTTGTCTCATATGTTGGATGACACATATTTTTCACACTTAATTTTATACATATTCATGTTATTCACGGTGCTAGTTATCCCTTTCAACATGTTATCACTATTATTAATCCACATTTTCTGTAGGGATTTGTCACTGTTAGCGCCATTAGGTATATATGTACGTACATTAGGGTGCATCACCAAAAAAAAAGAGTTGCGGGTTTTCCACCGAAATTATAAATTTCAATATATTTAAATAGTACCGCCAAAATATTTCGGAAAAATATTAAGATTTACGCAAGCTAGACCGATTTCAAACTATCTCTAAATATCGCATTATTTTTATTCCATTGATAAAGCTTAAACTTTTCTGTCATATGAGGTGATTTTTTTCGAAAAAATATTTTTTAAAACTAATTTTATTTGCGAAACACAAGATTTTTGCAGGTACAGTACCCTTAATCGCGACTTTCGATAAACGCAAAACCTCAATTTTCGCAAATAACATTTTTAGCATTGCAATAAATAAATCCGACACTACGTATGTATTAGAATGAATGCCAAATATAAACTTTTATATGTAAACACATATTTTAAAATAGGTGCAGCTCTTGTAAATCCTAATATTTTTGCGAAATATTCGTCTTAGAGAAGTCTTAAAATATAATGCATTTTATAATTCCGCTGGGAAAACAGTATAAATTTTTTTTTTTTTTATGGAGAGTGATGCACCCTGATATATATGTGTTTGTGAAGTACTTATTTCTTAAATTTGATTTTCTCGTGTCTGGACATTATCGTCACGTTGCATGTTTAAGGAAATACCTTGCCCTTGACAGTTCCAATTTTCTACCCGATTTTATTCGGAATTTTCTTTTTCACGTGCGTGCTTCTTTTTCATTAATTACTCAATAATCATGACTTATTGTGCTCAGCTGGAAACCTGAATTTATTTTTAGTATTTGTTGATCGATTCAATTTGATTTATTAAAAATGTAAATGAAAGTGTTGGTAGCGTGTACGCAAGCCAGAAATGCATATGCATTCAAATCTTGCACATGTATTTAAATATATAATTGTTAATAAAAAACTACATTAGAAGAAATAGTAATACAGTAATACACATAAACTTAAAACATTTGAATCGATTGAAATACGAAAAAAGGGAGAAACAAGTAATTAAAAAAAAAAATGAGATAAGCTTTTATTAGTCGGTTCATTTGCAGAAGCAATTTTCGTATAAATTGTTTTAATAATAGAGACTTACATACATACATATGTTGGTAGGTATGTACATATGTTAGGGCGGGTCAATTTGTATGGGAGATTTTTTCGACTATGCGGATAATGCACAGGAGGACTCTACGTGCAATTTTAAGGAAATTTGCGAAGAAGATATAATGGGTCTGAAATCCAATTTGGATTTTGCCAAATTGCGATAATAGGTTTCTTAGCATTTTGCTGTAGTGTCGTAATGAAGTGCCTAAATATTGTATAAAAACATGCTATAAGGGGTTTTTTCGCATAAGGAATCCATTCATGCACTTATCTTTTTCTTAAAACTTCCACTAGAGGGCGCAACAGTGAAAATTTTCACATTTTCTTCGAAACCTATTTTAGCAATTTGGCAAACTCCAAATTGATTTTAGGCCCATGGTTTCTTCGGAAAGTTTGCTTAGAATTGTACATAAAATCCTCCTTGCTATACGCGCATAGTCAAAAAAATTACCCGCCCTAATGTATAATGCATACAGATGAGACGCTCTAAATAAGTTTGCTAAGAAAAATGGTTTTATTGTTTTTAAAAATATTCTCCAGCATGATTTACACACTTTTGCAAGCGCCACAGGGAAGTCGGTACCTGAAAATGTGGTTTTTGAAGCGTCAACAGTTTCTACTTACATTGAAAATGTTTCTTCTGCCATTGAAAATCGTTCTTCGTACAGAATCGATAATAAATCATTAGGTGCATAGTCAGGACTACACGGCGAATGATCCAGCAAATCAATATTTTGAATGCTTAAAAAATCATTTATTTGGTGAGATGTTGAAGAGCTCCCATTGTCATGCTGAAAGGCCATTTATCGTATATTTCGTTGTATTCCCTGGTTTTGGACCACTCAGAGTTAAGTGTGCGACGTTCCCCAAACGGCACTTTAGCCACATGATCCGTTCTTGCGAAGGAACAAGCGACAATTTGTTTCGAAGGGTTTCTTGTGCAAACAGCTTTTGTTGGCTTTTACTTATTTTGAAAGACTCATNTAACGGCACTTTAGCCACATGATCCGTTCTTGCGAAGGAACAAGCGACAATTTGTTTCGAAGGGCTTCTTGTGCAAACAGCTTTTGTTGGCTTTTACTTATTTTGAAAGACTCATACAGATTATGTTTATTTCGTTCGCGAATTTGTGCAGTTTGTCTGCACCAATCGAGGTGAGCCTTTTTTTAGCAACGCGCATCTGACTACGTAGGTTTTTGAAGACCAAATTGTCGTGCAATATTGTATACATATATGGTGAAGCACTAATGCATATGGCTGCCTCAATCTCAATATATGTATGTATGTATGTATGCATGCATGTCACTCGGCGATCTTCCATTATCATCTTGCGCACAACGTCGATTTTTTTTTTGACGTAGAATACGTCTTACCTTAAGGTATGGGGGCTATGTTCAAATGTTGTAGTTGTAATTTTTAGAGCTTCACAAAAACGCTTATTGCACGAGAACTAATAAAGCGATTTCAAAGAAAAGTGTGGCGTTTCAAAGATAAAATTCCAAACCTGTCGACAGATTCATNTCGATATTCATATGCGAGCGAAATACGATAACACCTTTTTCACCTTTCTGAAAGCTACCATTCATGGTAACCAGGGTTGGTTTTGGCCCTATTTCAAACATTTTAGATAATATGCACAGTAGGACTTAATGAAATAATTGAATCGTATTTGGTAGAAATCGATAAAGCGGAGATGAACTTATGTAGTCACATAAGTGGGCAGTGCCCATTTTTTAAGTTTGTTATCCTCGAATTTCTTGCTAAATAAGGACTTATTCCGTATATCGATTTTGAGTAAATTTGCTTTGATTTACTGATTCATAGCAGTTTTAGAACTCTGTATATAAACTACCGTTATATGGGAGGTAGATGTGGTTATAGTTTGAATTACAATACCATCCGTCCTTAGCTCAAAAGAAATACACGTACCAAGTTTCATTAAGATATCTTAATTTTTCCTCGAGTTATCCTGTGCATAAACGGAGGGACGGACGGACATGGCTTAATCGATTTCCTTTTTCATTATGAGAATTTTGGTATATATATTTCTATAACTATCTCTATTTCGCGGGTATAAAAATTACAAATTTTACGATGCAAACGTCAGCTCGACTAAAATGAGGCTAATGGCAAAGAAGGGAGTCATTTTATTATTTAGTGCCCCTCGTAATATTGATTATACAGAAAAATTACTTTTGGAAAAATTTTAGTTTCAAAGTTGTCTTAGCTTCTTAGCAAATAAGCCCAGTTATTGCTCCGAACTCTATTGAATGGCATTATTTTCTTCATAGATTCGCACTGTGTGAACAAATACAAGCATACCCAACTTATGTAATACAAAGTTTGTGTTGCAAGAAATCTGCAAAGTCCTAACTAAATAGTCACGACAAGCCAAATCCAATTTAACCGTCTATGCATATGTACATAAGAAGTCGTATATAAATGTGTACGCAGAAATGTAAATTCCTCAACTCACACCCAACTTGTTTGGCGAATTAGCACTCTGGAACATATTGACTAACGAAAGTTTACACTTTTGCTTATGTAAATGTGACCCGCAGTTGTGGAAAGGATTTCATGTATTCAATATTTCATGTTATTCATTATAACTTAGTACAAGTAAAATTTTTAGTACTTATTTGTCAATAAATTTAAAGAGAAGACTTTCAAAACTGCAGCATTTGGACTGGTATCGGAAATATCTCAGTTTGGCAACTATGGTATTCTACGTTTTTATTCTTTTGGTTTCGATCAATNAAAACTGCAGCATTTGGACTGGTATCGGAAATATCTCAGTTTGGCAACTATGGTATTCTACGTTTTTATTCTTTTGGTTTCGATCAATCTTTGAAAATTACGATTCTATCTAATCTATATTTCGATCGTAGTTACTTTTTTGTAAGTTGCAAATTCGTTGATGGAGAACGATTCTATTTTGTGAAAAGGTGTATGTAGGTGCGTAAAGTGACTGTTTTAAAGATCAACCAGGATTTTGTGAAGCAATTTTTGTTTCTTGGCTAAAATACAATTAAAAATGTCGAAAATTAGCAGAAAACCCAAATCAATGCAATTATTGAATGGAATCCATTCCTTTTATTCGCTTATTATTTTTTCATTTATTTTTATTATTTTATCATGCATTTTAGTATAAAAGCTTCGGCTCCTCGGCAAACCTGAAATTTAGGAACTCGTTTGCGCATAAAATTTGCCCAATCTGCACCAACTCCGTGTTGGTAACTGCATTTCACACAAATTTCAAAAGCAGCCACTACTCGGTTAATCGGTGATATCGATGTTAGCTTATTTGATCGAGTTTCTTCCGCAAAAGTATCCAAGGCACTCTTTAAGCGTCCTTATTAGGCCGAAAGTTTCTATTTGTCCAAAAATAAGAAGTCAATAATTTCTTTTTAGTTGTTTGTGTTTCCGACAGGGTAGGAGTATGATGTATTCTGAAACGATTTTCCGTCATCCCTTGTCAAATTGGGTTTCGAGA